CTCCTGCCTCCGTTGTTTGCAGTGCAATCCAATATTTGTGCTAGAGCAGGCCATGCGTGAAGAAATGGCACAACAGGAGATAAGTTATCTCCTTTGGGCCATTAGCTGCGCCATGCGGGTAGACCCCGCGGTCGTCAGCGACGACCACGAATCCCTGTCCAAAGTTTGGCCCCCCTTCTACCCTTTTGCGCAGATGCAGGGGGAACAACCGGACACCTCAGGCAGTGCCTATCCGATGCACCGGTATACTATGTCGCAGCGCGACGTGCCTATGCGGCCAGCGGCCACGCCTGGCTGGCCGTATACCGGCCTTTTTGACTGGCCCCCCAGTGGGGAGGAAGACAATGTCCCCAAGCTCCAGTGGAGACTCAATTGGGTGGACGCCCTAGAGGGCCACGTGGCTGCTAAGGTGGAAGCCAGCGGCTTCCAATGGCACCCAGAGGGTAAGGGCAAAGGCAAGGGTGGTTGGGTCAAGATTCTCCCTTCGGAGAAGAAAAAGAAAAAGACTCACAAAGCTGCCAGCGGCAGTACTGACCCCACCGCCTCGTCCAGCACTGCTCTGCCGACAGCGTCGGCATCAGCCTCGGACCCTCCCTTGCCGCCGCCAGCGGCCGCTCCTGCTAAGCCTGTTTCGGCCACAACAGGCGGCCCGCCCGCAGCCGAAGCTGCCGACATCGCCCCGCCAGCGGCGGAGCCAGCCATTGAAGTTATTGACACTGACAGTGATCAGAACTCGGGAGACTCCGAGGTATCCTTGGCTAGCAGCCAGGCTGCAACGGCAGTGCCGTTCGCGCCGAACGCGAACACTGTGGTCGTGTCCAGACCGCAGCGTCGCAATCGCCAGCGAGGCTGGCAGTTTCAGCCTGGGGAGGACCCCCAAAATAACGATTGGCGTAACCTTGGGTCAGCGACCGACAACAGGTACCCCGGCCTGCGTGCGCTAGTAGCGCACGCCAAAAGGGTCTCGCCGCACCTACACGTCACAGACGTGCACGAATGGCCCTACTGGGCAGCCCCCAACTCAGAGAGATGGGAGAGATACCCGGAGAGGCGCGGCGACCTCATGTGTTGCATGCCTTGCGCGCAGCAGGGCTGTATCTCCCAGGGCATGGCGATTTGTGGGCGGCACTGCTCAGTGGGCAGGAGCCCCCACAATCATCACGAATGCGACAACTGCTATCGCAGCAGCCGGGGTCAGCGACCCCGAAACCGCGGCGTCAGGGGCGGCCGTCGTTAGGCATGAGTGCAGCGCGTAGCTGCTGGCCTCTCAGCGAGTCGCCCCCCGTCGGTGCAGCGCACCTCTTTTTGGTTCACCGTAAGCCTCACTTCCTTCCCAGCTCTCTCTTCCTCCTCTCCTCCCTCAGGACTGCCCGGGGAGGGTGCGGGTCGCAGCGCGTCGCTTGAGTTGAGCTTTCCAGAGTGAGTGCGCTTGTGTTCGTGTGCTGGTAGCCCTTTCCTGCAAGCCGCCTGGACAACAGCCGTTGGCTTGAGCAGTGCTCCCTTTCCTTGTGTCAAGGATGCTGCCCAGGGGCAGCGCCCCGGAGGGCGACTTCAACGACCAGGTTAGTAACCTCTGGTCGTCAATACCACGCCGAGCCGGTGCTCGTCAGCCGTGGGAATCAGCCTCATGGTTTGCGCGCAATGCGAGCTGGCCCTGGGAGCTGTCAGTGACTCGCCCCGCTTCTGTGGGCCCCGTGCCAGTGCTGCACGAGTCCAGCCTGATGCTCAAGCGGAAAGCTTCCGCTGGCACACAGCCGCTAGTAGCGGAAGACACGGCCTTCGCACTTAAGGTCTGCTCCCGTCGTACAGCGTACGAAGGCGACCGCCGCGACAGCGCGGTTTTCAAACTTACGGCCTTAGTAAAAGCATGGCCACAGGCCTTCGAGATCGTCTCACAGTGTGCCGACGAGGCTGGTTGCGTCGACCTGGACGAGCTCGACTTCAGCATCGAGGCAGCGCTCAGCTACAAGGCTACCAACACAGTTGTACGCCGCCTCAACTCTCTCAGAGCAGTTGTAGACTTGTCTACCAACCCCTTTTTGCGCGCGAGGCGAGCCACTTGTGGCGAGCTTGCAAAAATCCAAAAAGTACCCTAATCCCTATCCCGTGTGCTGTACCTCACCCTAAGCACCGGTATTTGGTGTGACCATTTCTTGTGTCGTGCCATTCTGAATGCTTGGCCTATCCGTGACATTCATCTCAAGTGGTGGGGGGGCGGGACCGCCAAACCGTCTCGACACAAGTTCTTGACGGGGGTGTGCGGTTAGAGAGCCGTGGAAAGCCTTGGGGCCAGTAGCGTGCATCTAGAAGGTTCAAGAGCTCCTAACGCGAGGTGCTGTTAGGTCGTGCACGCCGTGTGGTCCCGTTGACCACGGCAGATGGGCATACAGCAAATTCTTTTGCTGGAGGACTGAGCAAAGAGCAGTTGCAGCTTTGGTAACTTTGCTTAAGGATCCGGAATCACCTGGACCCCGGAGTTGTGATCAAAGGTCAAAGGCGCCTTGCCGTCCTTGAAGGTTGGATGGGGTGCCCGAGGTCCGGATTTTGTTTGCAGCTTGAATAAGAAAAGTTCGTGTGTGTGCCGATTTTAGGAGTGCCTTCATGTTTGCGAACTCGGTAGATTTTTCCTTGACGGCTTTGTGAGTGACTCTTTGTAATGTAAGTGGCTGCGAAGGCGCCCTCTCTCAGTGGATCAGGGTATCCCTGTGAGCCTACATGGGAGACGTGCCTGTGGATGCCGCTGCACTTGATGCGCACTTGTCCTTTTGCATCAGATCGAGTCACCAGTCATCTTTCAGACCTACGTGGGAGACAATTAGCGAGCCCACGAACTTAGTTTTTCGTCTCCCTGCTGCAAGGGGACCGTTGCCGCTGATAGCAGGACCTCGAGCTGAAGCGGCATCTTCCGGGTCCGTCAGTCAGGCCAAGAGACCGGGTGTGTCAGGAGACTCGCCATTGAAGATGGGCAAACATTGGCACGGGATTTCGTGGGAACACAAGCTGGAACGTGAGCTGGTCGCGGGTATTAGGAAGTGGGGTGTGATTATTATGCACTCCCCTCTGAGCTTCGATATCGGCCGGCGTCTGCGAGGTGAGCACAGACTTGAACCCCTCATCTTGGAAAGCCTCGGCCACATTTTTGCTGGGAAGGCAGCTGGCACTCTGCATCAGAGGGCTGGTCCGATGCTTAGGTACATTCGTTGGAGTGTTCAGGCTGCCATGGATCCTTTTCCCCTTGAGGAGGGGCAGGTATACGAGTTTTGCAAGAGTTGCGAGTTTTCATCTGCCCCAACTTTCTTGAGGAGCTTCATTGTATCCATATCTTTCTCTGTGCACGTCCTCGGTGTCACAGGTGGAGCCGATTGCTTGCTCAGCGGTCGGGTGATTGGCATAGCGAGGCTCACCTACCTCGCCAAGCGCAAGAAGACTCGGAGGCCGCCACTCACGGTTGCTATGGTGGCTTTCTTGGAGAATCTCGTTTGTGATCCGACTGCCAGGGCAATTGATAGAATCTGCGCGGGTTTCTTTCTTTGCTTGGTGTTCATGCGAGCTCGGTTTTCAGACGGGATGAACCTTGGAAACCTGCAATTGGACACTCCAAGTGGTCTAGCCAATGAGGTGGCTGGATACTTAGAAGGAGAGGTTCTTCGATCAAAGACTTCCTTCACGACTGAAAGAAAGACGATGCTTTTGCCCATGGTCTGCCCACGCTTAGGTGTCACAGGACTCGATTGGGCGGGAGTGTGGATGAAGCTACGGGAGCTTCACAAGATGCCGACGGGCAGCGGTGTGCCGCTGCTCCCTGGTACAGGAGCTTCGGGAGAATGGCTACTCGTGCCACCGAGCGCCACTGTCGCTGCATCCTGGCTTAAGGGCATTCTGAGCAAAGGAGGTTTTGATCACGGGGCCCTCGCCAAGTTGGGTACCCATTCGTGCAAGTGCACTACCCTCAGCTGGTGCGGGAAATTTGGTCTCGATCAGTCTGTGCGTCGCACACTCGGTTACCACACAGACCGAGCTGCTGCGATGGTCATTCTTTACTCTCGTGATGAGATTTCTAGTGCTGTGCGAGCTCTGGAGAGAGTCCTTGGTGAAATCAGGGAGGATCGTTTTAGGCCTGATGCCACTCGGAGCGGACATTTTCCTTGCGAGGTGGCGACGCCCTCAGCAGAACCCGAGGGTGATCCTCCCGACTATGAATCCAACGGTGGAGCGAGCGAGTCGGAAGATTCACAGGACGAAGAGGACAACGTTGGTGATCTCGGAGCCGAGGAAAGAGCTCTGGAGGAGATTGGAGCGCCGTGGAGACCACAGGGCGCTGCCAGTGATCGCCGTATGTTCCGGCACAAACTCTCGAGGATCATTCATTTTGTGGCCGACGAGGACGGTGCCACTTTTGCATGTGGAACAAAGATCTCTTCGAATTACGTTGAGATGAACAGTGGAGTTTCCTTTTTGCATCCTTTGTGCAAGAAGTGCCACCCGGTCCGATGAGAGCTGGTTCGGGCTGGACCGGAGTGGGTTTGGGTTTGTCACATCCAACCCGGTAGAGGAGCTGGTGCGGGCTCGGGTTGGGTGGATGCTGGTGCCTCCACTCGCATGTCGGCTGATTCGGGCCCGAGCTGGAATTTTTGGGCACAGCATCGCATGATACCTTCGATGGCCTTGAAGGATCGTGAGAGTCCTTCTTGGAGACTTGAGTCATCGCTATGAGGATCGCTTGGATCCGGGGCGATCTGCCCTTGGCGAAAGGGCAAGACTTTGTATTGACGTGCTTAGCAGTGACGTGGGTCATGGTGGATCGCAAAGTCTTGTCTTGTTTGAGCGTCGAGTCTATGGCGTGCAGCAAATACAGGGTCCTGTGATGTGTGCTGCGCGAATGCCGAGTGAAGTGATTACTTTTGCAGAGGTGCTGTAGAGCAACAGTGTGGAGAGGCGAAGCGTAAATACTGCGTGAACAAGTGTGCGTCTCAGAGCTGGCGGAGGGTGTAGTCGTAGCAATGTCGGTCACTGATTCCGCCGCAAATTTCCGTGCGAGGGCCATCGCGCTGGGGCTTGATGAGGCCGTTCTGCAGAAGATCGTCGACGGGGGTATTGACACATTGGCCAAGTTTGCTTTTTCGTCTTCATACACCCCGGGCGCTCAGGATGAGAAGCCTTTTCTTGATTCCATCGCAACTCTTCTGGGTAGGGATGGTAGCGTGGGAGAATTGTCAGTACTTCGACGCTTATTCCATGAATCCTACTCTCTCACCTCTGCTGAGTTGAAGCAGTCAGTGGAACGTGTCGAGGACGGGCCTGTCAAGAGATTGGCTCAGCCAGACAGGGCCGACCGGTTGGCCAAGCAACAGAAACGCTTGCCTGGGATAAGCATCCGAGGTCCTCTTGAGCCATCTGATCGACTCGTGGATCGTTGCGTGGCGATCTATGAGGAAAACCGGCTTGTCTACGTTGAGCTTTCAGCCTGCACCTCTAAGGAAGATGAAATTAAGCAAGCCACGCTCAAGGAGGACAGGCATCTTGTCGTAGAAAGCGGGGGAAATGTTCGACTCAAAGGCCTGGTGAACAACAAGATGGATGCAGACATTTCCTCTGATTTGCTCATGCGGTATGCTCTTACTAGGCGTGGCCTAGCGATGGAGCAAGCGGGAATCATCTCATATACACTGCATGACGCATGGACCGAGCAACTGCTCGCGTGCCGTTTCCGAGAACCCCCGACAGGGTACAGCCAGCCGCGTTTCCTTGCAACAGGTCATCCATGCTGACAGGCAATTCTTCATCAAACTTGCCGAGCTCACCCGGGAAGGAATACAGCTTCAGGCGAAGGGTAGGCCATGTGATTTGCACTTCGAGACAGCTCGCAATCACCCGGATGTGGCGCACCTAATGCAACCCCTTCTTGCAGCGGTGCCTAGACCAGACCCCACATGGACGCCCCGAAAAGGCGACGGCAAGAACAGCAAGGGAGGTAAAGGTCAGAAGGGCGGTAAAGGGAAGCGGGACACCACTGCCATCACTGCTGCGATGCCTAAGGAGATTGCTGATGGGGGGTTATCTTTCACGCCTAAAGGGTACGCAATCTGTTGGGATTATAATCTCAATAGATGCAAGCGCAGAGTGACATCAGGAAGGTGCGACAAAGGGTTGCACATATGCTGCCGTGCTGGCTGCCTGAAGTCTGGGCACTATTACGGCAACTGTCCGAAAGCAGGTGGTTCTTGACTAGGTGTCTCAGGTCCGGTCGGTTCCACCTCCCATCAGGTCGGAGCCGATACAGGTATGAGCGTTGATGCAGCCGGCGGTGCTTCCGCCGAAATCCTTTCACAACAGTTGCTTGAGGCTGACAGGTTGCCCACTCCAGAGGAGATTGAAGAGCTCGTTAGCCTCTTGCCGCATGGCGAGTTGACCGGCGAACGCCGGAGCAACGCGGACGCTTCTTGCAGTGCATTCCATAGCGGTGCTTTTGTACACATCAAAGTGGGATTGCGTCGAAATTGCAAAATCTTCCCAAGCACGACAAAGCTACTATCGAGAATTCTGCGGCGTGCCCATCCTGGGCATGAATTTACTTCCTTGCTGCTTTCTGTTGACAACCAGACTGCATTGCATGCAGATAGCCAGAATGCCTTCATCCCAAACTTAGTCGTTCCACTAAACAGGTTTTCTGGTGGTGGGATTTGGGTGGAATCCGATGTTGGCAAAGAGCGTTTGACAGTCGATGGCCAAGAGCTGCTGGGAACCACCTTGGATTTAGGGTTAGGCCCCGTAAGATTTCAGGCCAGGGTTCAGAAGCACCTCACCCTGAGTTGGGAAGGTCGGCGAATGGTCCTTATCGGATACTCTGTACAAGGCGGTGAGATGCTTCAAGACTCGGATAAGGTTGAACTGGATGCCTTGGGGTTCGCACTTCCATCGCAGTACCCCGCCACCGGCAACCAGGTGGCTGAGCAAGCGTGTTTTGCGGACTTCAGGAATGGGACCAGCAGCCCGCCACTTCTTGAGCAAAGGCCGGCATATAATCCACAGCACATCGGCGATCCGTCGAGGAGTCCAGTGCAAGGGATCGTCATCGAAATTGTTTGCTCGTAGTGGTGCCTTGTCTAGGGTTTTCAAACAACATGGGTTTGAGGTTTTCCCAGTGGATCGTGGGGGGCACAGGCTCCCTTTGTCTAAGTTGTGTGCCCTTGATTTGGCGCAAGCGTCGAGTTGGACCTACCTCGAGGAAGTTCTTGAAACCTACCCAGTTCTTTATGTCCACGCTGAGCCGCCTTATGCCACGTTTGGGCCACAGCAGGCGTTTAGGCACTTAGTCAACGGGGTCACGAGCCCCGTGGGAACCGTCGACTCCAAAGTTGTTGATCGACTCGCTTTAGCTGACTCCATGGTCAACCACTTGTGCACTTTCTTGCAAAGCGTGGACAAACGAGGTATTCCTTGGACCTTGGAACACCCAAAGGCCAGCCTTCTTTGGAATCTGCCGAATGTGCGGGCTTTGCCTTCAACTTCTGAGGTTGTTTACGATCTTTGTAATTTCGGGTTTGCCCTTAAGCTTCGCCGCCAACTTAGGACCAATTGCAAGGCTTTAAGGTCCCTAAACTGCTTGTGCAAAGGCGACCATTCGCATGGCCAAGTCGAAGGTGGAGTCGTCACACACCCTCCCGAATTCTGCAAACATGTCGTCCAGGCAATTGCGCGGCACCATGGACTTGCTTGCCCCGACGTGGCATTGTCATCCACGCCAGCTGGTGTTGCCCAGCAAAAGCGAGGCAAACCTGAAGCTTCGCTCCTGCCTGAGTTCGGCAAGGTCTTGCAGGTAGATGTCGATCAGGTTCCGCCAGTGAACCACAAGCAGTGCCTCACTCGCCCGTTGGGCGAGGTGCCAGCAGGATCCAAGCTCATCGCCACGTCTCTTCTCAGGGGTGATGCGGGTGGCGATGCGGGTAACGAGGGTAAGAGATTTCGCCTTTCTTTAGGAGTCTTTGCCACGCCAGATGAGTTCGTTGATGCGGCCAAGGACTTGCTACATCCTTTTGCTGCTTCGGCTGTTCTGTCGCCTATCGTGAAAAGGCGTTTGTTTGAGGCCTTGACCAAAGGTCCTGAATGGGTTCAGCGACAACGGTGCTCCAAATTGAAATTGTGGCTTAGCTGGGCCAAAGAACTGCAAGTTGCCGAAGGAGAAATGAAAGGTAAGCTAGATCCTGACATTGGCCGTGTGCTTCGAGGCAAGCGCTTGTTGCTTCTGAAGCGTATTGCTGATGATATGGACTGGCCCGACAAGGATTGGTTGGGTGAGCTCTTGGAAGGGTTTGACTTAGTCGGTAGTCAGAAGCACACCGGGGTCTTCAAGCGAGAGTTGCGACCACAAGCAAGAACTAAGGCGGACTTTCTTGATGCTAGCAAGTTCTTGCGACCGGCACTTCTGGGCAAGGTCGCCTCTGAGGGTCTGAACGAGCATTCTCAGGAACTCTGGGACAAGACCTTGGAAGAGGTGACGGACGACCTTCTTGAAGGACCTCTGACGCAGGAGGAGGTTCATGCCAGACATGGTGACCATTGGGTCCCGGTTAGGAGGTTCCCGGTGGTACAATCTTCAGCGGGCAAGAGGAAGCTTCGACCGATTGATGATTTTTCGGAGAATCTAGTCAACGGTTCTTTTTCGTATGCCGATAAGATTGACTTACGTGCCCTTGACGAAATCATTGCCATCTGCCGATGCTGGACCCAGGCATGCACTTCAGAACATCAGTTCTTTTTCGCGATGCCTGAAGGGCCACCGTTGGTGGGCCGTGTCCACCCTTTGTGGGTCAGCGGGGCTTGGGAGCCTTTGCTTACAACGTTCGATTTGAAGAATGCTTATCGTCAATTCCCATTGTCACCAGGCAGCCGTGCTCATGCGATCATTGCACTGTTGGACCCGAGCAGTCTTGGCGTGGGTTTGTTCGAGTCCAAAGCGCTACCCTTCGGTAGCACGGCGTCGGTGGTGCACTTCAATCGAATGTCACGTTTGTTTTGGAGGATTGGCCTTGAACTTCACCTGTGGTGGAGCAATTTTTATGATGACTACCCAGTCATGACGCCAACACTGCTTAAGGATTCCACCATGGCGACTATGATGCTCCTGTCCCAGCTGTTAGGGTTTAGTGCCTCCCTTGAGAAGTTGGCCCCATTTTCTTCGGTTGGTACGATGTTGGGCGTTGAAGTAGACTGCAGTTCAGCGCCCGATGCGCTCATCCGTGTTCGCAACAAAGAGGGTCGTGCCAGCGAGGTGTGTGAGGTCATACAGGGATGCATTAAGGCTGGTGTGGTAAGGCAAAGAGATTTCGCCCGTGTCGCTGGCAGGATTCAGTTCTCAGACTCGCAAATCATGGGACGTACCGGCAAACTAGCTTTGGCCGAGTTGCGAGCCTCATCGGCCAGGCATGCTGACAAGTTCCGTCTTGGAGAGCAGGAGGTTAGGGCCTTTGATTTCTTGGTCAGTCGACTGTCCTTTGGTGCTCCTAGGGTTGTACCCTGTTCGGTTCCTCCGAAACCGATTCTTGTCTTTACCGATGGCGCCAGCGAAGGATCTGTCCACACAGTGGGGGGAATCATGTTTGACCCGCGAGAACAACAACCGAAGTACTTTGCTTGCCATGTGTGCGACAGTGTCGTCTCGACCTGGTCCAGGGACCTTCAGCACATCATAGGTCCAGTCGAGGCCTACGCTGTGCTCACAGCGAGAAAGGTCTTTCATCAGTCTCTGTCGGGACGATATTGCGTGTACTTCATTGATAACGACGGGGTACTACTTAGCTACATCAAGGGTACGTCTTCTAGCAAACCTATGCGAGATATTTTGCTGATGTGGGAGTCCTTGGAGATGCATGCTCACACGTGGGCGTGGTGGGCTCGTGTGCCATCCGCATCCAACCCAGCCGATGCGCCGTCAAGAGGCGAGCTGGATGAGCTTGTCAAAGCTGGGGCATTGCGTGTGGATTGTGATTGCCCGCTTACCGGTACAAGACTTGTCGACTTGTAATCAAAAGGGGCTCCCGTACTGCATTGTTTGGGGGGATCGGGCAGCCCGGTTCGCCCCGAGCAAAAAGTCCACCGTGCGAGTGATTGAGCTTGATTGGAATCATTTCATACCTATATTTATGGAGTCTCGCCGTTGCATAATTTGATGCCGACTTTTTCTCTTGAATAACATTCTCGAGTACACGATTGGAGGTTTTTGGATTTTTCCGAGCTTAGCAAAAAGAGCAGTTGTAGACTTGTCTACCAACCCCTTTTTGCGCGCGAGGCGAGCCACTTGTGGCGAGCTTGCAAAAATCCAAAAAGTACCCTAATCCCTATCCCGTGTGCTTTACCTCACCCTAAGCACCGGTATTTGGTGTGACCATTTCTTGTGTCGTGCCATTCTGAATGCTTGGCCTATCCGTGACATTCATCTCAAGTGGTGGGGGGGCGGGACCGCCAAACCGTCTCGACACCCACCCACCACACCCTGTCGAGACATCGTTGCTTCGGCTTGCAGCGCCGACCTCTGCTCCCAAGGAGAAGTTCAGTTTTCTGCCAACTTCCGGAAACTTACGCCTCGATTGAGGCGGCGATCTCGGTCGCTGACTCTCGTGACTTTAGCTGCTTCCGAAGTTGTGCCAATCTCACAAATGTGAGAACGCGCCTAGCCCGAGCCTGGATCGGGCAGCCCGGTTCGCCCCGAGCAAAAAGTCCACCGTGCGAGTGATTGAGCTTGATTGGAATCATTTCATACCTATATTTATGGAGTCTCGCCGTTGCATAATTTGATGCCGACTTTTTCTCTTGAATAACATTCTCGAGTACACGATTGGAGGTTTTTGGATTTTTCCGAGCTTAGCAAAAAGCAATTTTGTCCAGTGGGCAAACACGCAAGACCCAGTGGTGGTGCCCTTCCCAGTGTCCGAGCGCGCCACTTGGCGCTACATCCAGTGGATGATGCGAAATGGGAAAGGGGCTAGCAGCCCCTCGAGCTTGATTCAGAGTCTGAACTGGTGCTCGGGAGTCTTCGGTCTGTCCTTCGAGTCGGAGGTGACCAGCTCCCGTATCGTGGGCCTTTGTAAAAGCACGGAAGCCAGCGCGCCTCCGCCGAAACGGGCCCCTGCCCTTATAAGGCCTCAGAGGTGGCCACTCTTGAGCGCATCGCGCTGTCTGGCTCTGTGTACGACAGTGTCGTGTCTGGGGGCTTGTTGTTCATGCTCTTTGCATGCGCCCGCGCCAGTGACGCGGCCCGAGTTGCCTCTTTCTCCGTCGAGCTCCCAGAGGACCCCTGCGCCACAGTGTGGATGCAGGCGAACGTGCACAAGGCGAAAACCGCCGTAGGGGCTAGAAGCCGCCTGCTGCTCCCGCTGGTAGCCCCGGTGGTTTTCTTCGAAGAGTCGTGGGTGAGTCAGTGGCTCGCCAATCGAGAAAAGCTGGGTCTCAGCTCCAGCGGAGCAATCCCGCTAGGGTCAGTGATCCCTGCCTTCACATCGGATGGTGATCTAGCAGATCGCCCGATGAACTCTCAAGAAATAACCTCCTGGCTGCGCAGCGCGCTGTTGAACGCTGGCTGTGAAGGCGCAGAGCGCCTCAGCAGTCACAGTCTCAAAGCGACGTGCCTCACCTGGGCCTCGCAAGCTGGCGTCAACCTGGACCTGCGCAGACTCCTCGCCCACCATGTCCACGACAGTGCTCGGAGCACTGAGACGTACAGCCGCAACGTGCTCATCCCCGCAGCGCGGGCTCTGGAGGAGGTTCTCATTGCCATCAGAGATGGCGATTTCCTTCCCGACCAGCCCCTCGGGAAACAGTTCGCGCTGCCTAGCAGTCAGCTTAACCTGAAGCGAGAGAACCTTAGCAAGGTTTCTCACAGGAAAACCTCCTCTGGCTCAGCACCCCCAGTGGGGGTGGAAGCCCTGAAGGTTTCGCAACAACAGGAGCTCAGCGACACAGAAGACAGTGCCAGTGACACTGATAGAGAAGACGAGTTCGTCGCCGAGCCCGAGGTAGAGGAGCACCCTCGCCTTAGAAGGGAGGTGCAGTGCACTCTCCCAGACTGGGCCTTTTCGTGGTGTCATCTTGCCAGTGGCAAGCTGCACGCGAGCCGCGGCGAGAACGCCAAGAGGCTTCTTTGCGGTCGCTGCTTGAATGAAAAGTATACGAGTTGCGAAGTTCGCGACCTCGCACCAGGCCGACCGCACTGCAAGACTTGCTGGAGCAGCAAGTCTTTCGATGCAGAGTGAAAAAGAGAGCGAGTTCACGAGCCTGTCTGTCCTAGTAGGGTCCTGCAGCCTGCACCGTGTTTGCGTCTCTCCCTCTTTTTCATCTTTGCTTGCCCTGCAGGACGATGGCGAACCTCGTCGACAGTGTCGCGGAATTCTCGAGCAGAGCTCGACAACTCCTAGGAGACGCCGAGTCGGCAAAGCTCTCTGCGGCAGACATCCGCACTTTCGGCACGTTAGCGTACAGCGTCGCTGACCAACCCGACCGCATCAGCGATGCGAAGTTTGAAGAACTTCTCAAGAAGGTCTTCGGGGCGGCAGAGCCGTCGTTGGGCACTAAGGCCGCAGCGCGGCGCCTGGCCTTCGAAAGCCTGACCTTCAGCATCCAGGATCTGAAGATGAGGGTAGAGGGTCACAGCGTCACCCCCAAGAGCCTGCCCCTGCACGAGCGCGAGGAGCGCCGCGCCGCGCAAGTCGCGCGCCTCCGGGGCGTCGTCATCGAAGGTGACTACGACCCCGCGCACAGCCTCGTGGATAAAGCCGCGCTCATGCTGCAGGACGGCATCGTTCGTTACATCCCCCCGTCGCAGTGCGTCAGCCGGGATGCCGAGATCGCCTCAGTGAGGCGTGACAAGGACTTCCTCTCCCTAGAGTCTGGGGAGATCACAGTAAAGAAAAAGGAGCACAGCGTGCACGTGGAGATCGGCAATGAGCTAAAGCTCACGCAGGCGCTCACGCGCAGAGGTCTCGCGCTCGACAGAGTCGGCGTCTTGGATTTCACGATTCACGAGAGACTCGTGAGACAGTTCTTCTCCGTCCTCAACCGGCCAGCGCCGCCGGGGATGGAGCGCTGCAACAGTTGGCACGTAGTACGGGCCGATAAAGAACTGTGGACGCTGCTCGCGCGAGAGTGTCGCAAGGGTTGCAAACCGGACAAGGATGGTAAGAGGCCACTAGATTCTCTAGTAGAGAACATGTGGTCCGATCCGATTGTCACGCTGCACCTGCTCCCCTCGCCAGTGGCAGACAGGGGTCGCAAGGGCAAGGGCCGCAGCTTTACGCGCAGCGAAGAAGACCGCAGTCGTAGCACGACCGGCAAAGGCAAGAAAGGCGGCAAGAAAGGCCGCGGAAAGGGCAAGGGCAAACGGCACGAGAGCGCAGACCGCTCCAGGCCGCCGAGCATGCCCAAAGAGCTCCGCCACTTGAACAGCGTTTCCAAGTCGGGCAAGCGCCTCTGCTACGGTTTCAACCTGCAGTGCGGGTGCGACCTTGAGACCTCCGGATCCCCCAAGCAGTGCGACAGGGGGTTGCATCAGTGCATGAGCTGCGGCAGCACCGAACACGGAGCCGCAGATTGCCCCAAGAACGCAGGGGCCGCCTGACTAGGCCCCCCTGCCCTGAGCGCGGCAGAGCCGCAACAGCCCTCGGCCACTGAGCCCGCAGCTCCTTGCCCAGCAGCGCTTCGAACGTCGCCGTGGATCACAAGACCAAGGCCAGAGGCCTCAAGGTCCAGCTGGGTCGCAACTTGCTGAGAGCAGTGCTCTCGCACCAAGACCTGAGATGGGTCCACTGGGCCCCGCCGTGCGGCACCTTTAGCAGAAAGCTTCTCGGCTCTAGCGTTGTTTTCTGTGAGTGTGGGTGGGGTAGTTGTGGGCTCCGGCTGTCCGGTGTCCCGCGGTAGCTAGAGGGGCGGCTGGGGGTAACTAAAGCCATCGGGTGCGTGCAGCTCTCTGACTTTTCTGCGCTTGGTGAACCTTTTTCGCGTGGTTTTTCCAAAGGCTTTTGCTGGCGATTTTTGCAGATTGGTTGTGTATTTGGAAACTGGTCAGTGGCCTGCTTTTTATTTGGGCAAGCCCACAGCACTTGCAATATTTCACTGCCCACTGTATTTCTTTCGCCTGCACTGCATATTCGCGCAGTAGCACTTGATTTGCTGGTCGAAGAGCTGTCTACATCTGCGATTTCGGCACATATTCGGCAGCTGGCATACAACATTTGGCTTGACATTCCGGCACTACTGTATTACTGTGGGCTATTGAAGTGCTCCCCGCACACGCGGCCCTACAGCTCGAAGGCTGGACTGCAGTGCATTACCCACAGATTTATCTTGCTGTCCGTGAACTTCTCTGAGCCATGACACGTGCCTTTACAAGGATTCTGCCCACTTTTGGGCTGATTGTTGTCTGTGCTCTGATTGGCACAGTACACGCAAGCCCGAAGAGGCATTGCTCAGAGCGCTCTGAGCATCGGCCAGCAGCAGATCCGACTCAGGAGATGGGGCCATTCCAACAGCTGGAAGTCATTGGTGTCGGACAAATGGAGGGCCACGACAGTCAGAGTCTTCTGTATGGTCTCACTACTGCTCCTGCACAGCCATCTGCTGCAAATGCCTCCGAGAGGTCTCGCAATCCAGTGGAACATTTATTCCACGGCCTGGACTCTGCGGTACACGCCCCGCTACAGCAGTTGCTTGACCAACTGGATTTATTCATGTGGTATTCGTCGCAAGAGGATGACCCAACGACTGCCCAAGAATGGCCGACGATTCTATCGCAGCTGAACGACAACCTCAATCAGGCTATTTGTTTTGTCGCTCTGGAAGATGTTATTGCGGCGGTACGGTATCGGGCAGAAACTCATATGAGTACCAACCGGCTGGATATGGCACTCTCGCGATTTGCAGAATATTTCCTGTTGCGTGGTCATGCAGGCCAGCCCATGGCTCTACCGCACATGCTTCAGTCCAGTATGTATTCAGTGTGCGATTTTGGCAAGGCAGTACAGCAACCGCAGCCAG